TTACAGTTTTATGAAATATATTTATAACTAACCTTTCTTCTACATGTGGTTCCATGGGTATTACAGTCTGCCATCAAACATCAACAATAAGACTTGTAGCCTACAGGATATTATAGCTAGCCTACCTCAAAACAGATGTTAGCCACTGCTCCATGATCCACCACCAACCATTTGACTTCAATCTTCTTTTCCAGCTTGCTTTTATTTTAATGGATGGACATATTTTAAAGTTTAGGTGGCTAATGAGCACCGAGAATACGTTTTCTCTCTACATTTCCTAAGGTTTGAAAATGATTTGCTAGGTGATAGCTAAGCTAGTCGACATGTTTCGGCTAGCTACGATACCTAGCTTGACGAAATGGTAACAGTACGGGGTAGCTTGCTGTCACATCAGTCCTATCAGTTACCGGGCATAAGATGTTGATTTACAGTGGGGGAAAAAAGTATTTAGTCAGCCACCAATTGTGCAAGTTCTCCCACTTAAAAAGATGAGAGAGGCCTGTAATTTTCATCATAGGTACACGTCAACTATGACAGACAAAATGAGAGAAAAAAAATCCAGAAAATCGCATTGTAGGATTTTTAATGAATTTATTTGCAAATTATGGTGGATAATAAGTATTTGGTCAATAACAAAAGTTTCTCAATACTTTGTTATATACCCTTTGTTGGCAATGACACAGGTCAAACGTTTTCTGTAAGTCTTCACAAGGTTTTCACACACTGTTGCTGGTATTTTGGCCCATTCCTCCATGCAGATCTCCTCTAGAGCAGTGATGTTTTGGGGCTGTCGCTGGGCAACACAGACTTTTAACTCCCTCCAAAGATTTTCTATGGGGTTGAGATCTGGAGACTGGCTAGGCCACTCCAGGACCTTGAAATGCTTCTTACGAAGCCACTCCTTCGTTGCCCGGGCGGTGTGTTTGGGATCATTGTCATGCTGAAAGACCCAGCCACGTTTCATCTTCAATACCCTTGCTGATGGAAGGAGGTTTTCACTCAAAATCTCACGATACATGGCCCCATTCATTCTTTCCTTTACACGGATCAGTCGTCCTGGTCCCTTTGCAGAAAAACAGCCCCAAAGCATGATGTTTCCACCCCCATGCTTCACAGTAGGTATGGTGTTCTTTGGATGCAACTCAGCATTCTTTGTTCTCCAAACACGACGAGTTGAGTTTTTACCAAAAAGTTCTATTTTGGTTTCATCTGACCATATGACATTCTCCCAATCCTCTTCTGGATCATCCAAATGCACTCTAGCAAACTTCAGACGGGCCTGGACATGTACTGGCTTAAGCAGGGGGACACGTCTGGCACTGCAGGATTTGAGTCCCTGGCGGCGTAGTGTGTTAGTGATGGTAGGCTTTGTTACTTTGGTCCCAGCTCTCTGCAGGTCATTCACTAGGTCCCCCGTGTGGTTCTGGGATTTTTGCTCACCGTTCTTGTGATCATTTTGACCCCACGGGGTGAGATCTTGCGTGGAGCCCCAGATCGAGGGAGATTATCAGTGGTCTTGTATGTCTTCCATTTCCTAATAATTGCTCCCACAGTTGATTTCTTCAAACCAAGCTGTTTACCTATTGCATATTCAGTCTTCCCAGCCTGGTGCAGGTCTACAATTTTGTTTCTGGTGTCCTTTGACAGCTCTTTTGTCTTGGCCATAGTGGAGTTTGGAGTGTGACTGTTTGAGGTTGTGGACAGGTGTCTTTTATACTGATAACAAGTTCAAACAGGTGCCATTAATACAGGTAACGAGTGGAGGACAGAGGAGCCTCTTAAAGAAGAAGTTACAGGTCTGTGAGAGCCAGAAATCTTGCTTGTTTGTAGGTGACCAAATACTTATTTTCCACCATAATTTGCAAATAAATTCATTAAAAATCCTACAATGTGATTTTCTGGATTTTTTTTCCTCAATTTGTCTGTCATAGTTGACGTGTACCTATGATGAAAATGACAGGCCTCTCATCTTTTTAAGTGGGAGAACTTGCACAATTGGTAAATGACTAAATACTTTTTTTCCCCCACTGTATCTGTGGCCAATGGCAATGAGCCTTCTTGGGCGGGCGCTTCTACAGTAAATCAATGGAGCACTAAAGATTGGCTTTTGCTGGCTAGCTCTCTCAGCGGGTGCTGCGGTGACGTAGCGTCTCCATAAATGACAGCACCCTGAGCCAATCACGCGCAACCAGAGAAGATCAATGACACCTACACTCTCATTTCTCTGTCTGCCCCTCCACCAAAGAAAGCACAGAGCGAGGCTGAAACAGCTGCATTAGGAAGCTGCCTTACTCAACGAAAATGTGCCTAAACAACAATGCAATGGGAAAACGACCACATATGCTTTATTAGATCAAGCTATTTTTGTATTAAATTAAATTGTTTGCTTACTGATATGATATATTGTTGAGACATGAAATAACAGAATCCTGGATATTGGTGTGTCTCCGCCCACTGCATAAGATATGTGCTCGTGTTCATGAGTTCTGCTTACTTTAAAATATTTATTTTCACCTTGTCTGTTTGTCCTTGTTGTCTGTTTGTCCTTGTTGTCTGTTTGTCCTTGTTGTCTGTTTGTCCTTGTTGTCTGTTTGTCCTTGTTGTCTGTTTGTCCTTGTTGTCTGTTTGTCCTTGTTGTCTGTTTGTCCTTGTTGTCTGTTTGTCCTTGTTGTCTGTTTGTCCTTGTTGTCTGTTTGTCCTTGTTGTCTGTTTGTCCTTGTTGTCTGTTTGTCCTTCATGCTCTCTATTAGTTCATGTGAAGTCCTGTGGAACGTTTTGGTGAAGGTAAATTGATTTCTGTTCTTTTCTTTTCACTTTCATTGTCAGGTATACATATTATACATATACTATATATATATAATATGCATATTTGGTTTTGTTTCGTTCGTCAAACTAATTAGATCCCGGCTTTAGACATTAGTCATAGACATTAGACAGTATGAAAATGTATGCACTCACTAACTGTAATTCGCTCTGGATAAGAGCGTCTGCTAAATGACAAAAAAATAATGAAAATAAAAGATAATTCCTGCCAAAGACATTATATATAATATACTGTATATTATATACATTATTATTATTATTATTATTATTATTATTATATACATTTTTATAATACATTAGACATTAGTCATAGACATTAGAGAGCTAATTTAATCCCGGCCTAAAACATTAGTCTTAGACATTAGAGAAGTATATGGAAGTAATCCACTAATATTGCCATGGTCTTTCACAACCGAACAAAGGTCCAAGTTCGTTATTGTTGTTAATGACCAACATATAACATTGTCCCATTCAACAATATCTAACTCACACCACTCACTACAGATCCTCCCTACAGGATGGATGGTAGAAGGAATTGTCCTGCTGTCCCAGATAAGAAATAAGATCAATGACAGAGAGAGAGAGAGAGAAGAGAGAGAGAGAGAGAGAGAGAGAGAGAGAGAGAGACATAGAGAAGGGACGAGGAGAGAGATAGAGAGAGAAGAGAGGAGATATCTAGATCTCGCCTCTCTCTCATCTCTCTCCTCCTCTGTATCCCTCCTCTCCTCGAGAGATCTCCTCTCAGATCTCTCTGCTCTCTCTCTCTCTCCCCTCTCTCCATCCTTCTCTCTTCTCGAGGCCGAGGATTGGCGCGATACGATTGAGAACGATAGGCCTACCTGAGGAGACCATATTAGAGACACTATTTCCCTCAGATTACACAGACCCACAAAGAATTGAAAAACAAATCCAATTTGGATACACGTCCATATCTACTGGGTGAAATATCCAATGTGTGCCCCATCACAGTAACAAATTTGTGACCTGTTGCCACAAGAAAAGGGCAACCAGTGATGCACAAACACCACTGTAAATACAAACCATATTTATCTGTTTATTAATTTTCCCTTTCATACTTCAACTATTTGCACATTGTTACAACACTGGACACAGACAATAATAGAACATTTGAAATGTCTATATTATTTTAAAACGTTTAAAATGTTTACCGTTCATTTGTGCCAATGCTGTTCCCTTGCTTCATCTATTGCAGAGTTAGAGTTTAATTAAATATATTTATAACTAACCCTTCTTCTACATGTGGTTCCATGGGTATTACAGTCTGCCATCAAACATCAACAATAAGACTTGTAGCCTACAGGATATTATAGCTAGCCTACCTCTAAACAGATGTTAGCCACTGCTCCATGATCCACCACCAACCATCTGTGATATGTGGTTGTCCCACCTAGCTATCTTAAGATGAATGTACTAACAGTTAGTCGCTCTGGATAAGAGTGTCTGCTAAATGAATGAAATGTAAACCAGTCAGATATCAACCAGTCAGATATAAACTCGTCAGATGATAAACCCGGCAGATAAAACAAAGTCATATAATTAAAAGCAGTCCTTATGGCCACCAGTGATATCCCGTCATGCTATATCCAGGTCGAGTATGGTACTGTCAATATAAACCAGTCAGCTTGGCACAGTCCGATATACACCATCAAATAAACCAGTAGATATTAAACCAGTCAGTAGGCACCAGTCAAATATTTACCAGTTCCAATATAAACCATCAGTATGGCACCAGCCAGATATAAAACCAGTTTCGTTATAAACGTTCTGATATAAACAGTCAGAATAAAACCAGTCAGTTGGCACCAGTCAGATATAAACCAGTCAGATATAAACCAGTCAGATATAAACCAGGTCAGATATAAACAGTCAGTATGGCACCAGTCAATATATAAAACCAGTCAAGGTATAAACCAGTCAGATATAAACCAGTCAGATATAAACCAGTCAGTATGCACCCAGTCGATATGAACCAGTCAGATATAAACCATCAGATATAACCAGTCAGTATGGCACCAGTCAGATATAAACCATCAGGTTATAAACCAGTCAGATATATTAACCAGTAAGATATAAACCAGTCAGATATAACCAGTCAGATATAAACCAGTCAGATATAAACCAGTCAGATATAAACCAGTCAGAATAAACCAGTCAGTATGGCACCAGTCAGGATAAACCAGTCAGATATAAACCAGTCAGATATAAACCAGTCAGATATAAAACCAGTCAGTATGGAAACCAGTCAGATATAACCAGTCAGATATAAACCAGTCAGATATAACCAGTCAGTATGGCACCAGTCAGATATAAACCAGTCAGAGATAAACCAGTCAGATATAAACCAGTCAGATATAAACCAGTCAGATATAAACCAGTATAAACAGTCAGATATAAACCAGTCAGATATAAACCAGTCAGATATAACCAGTCAGATATAACCAGTCAGTATAAACCATTCAGATATAAACCAGTCAGATATAAACCAGTCAGATATAACCAGTCAGATATAAACCAGTCAGATATAAACCAGTCAGATATACCAGTCAGATATAAACCCAGTCAGTATGGCACCTCAGTAAAAATATAAACCAGTCAGATAAAAACCAGTCAGTATGGCACCAGTCGATATAAACCAGTCAGTATACCAGTCAGTATGGCACCAGTCAGATATAAACCAGTCAGATATAAACCAGTCAGATATAAGCCAGTCAGTATGGCACCAGTCAGATATAAACCAGTCAGATATAAACCAGTCAGATATAAACCAGTCAGATATAAACCAGTCAGATATAAACCAGTCAGATTAAACCAGTCAGATATAAAAAAACCAGTTAAGAATATAAACCAGTCAGTATGGCACCAGTCCAGATAAAACCAGTCAGATATAAACCAGTCAGATATAAACCAGTCAGATATAAACCAGTCAGATATAAACCAGTCAGTATGGGACCAGTCAGATATAAACCAGTCAGATATAAACCAGTCAGATATAAACCAGTCAGATATAAGCCAGTCAGTATGGCACCAGTCAGATTATAAACCATCAGATATAAACCAGTCAGATATAAACCCATCAGGATATAAACCAGTCAGATATAAACCAGTCAGATATAAACACAGTCAGTATGGCACCAGTCAGATTATAAACCAGTCAGATATAACCAAAGTCAGTATGGAAACCAGTCAGATATAACAGTCAGTATGGCACCAGTCAGATATAAACCAGTCAGATATAAACCAGTCAGTATGGCACCAGTCAGATATAAACCAGTCAGATATAAACCAGTCAGATATAACCAGTCAGTATGGCACCAGTCAGATATAAACCAGTCAGATAAAACCAGTCAGTATGGAACCAGTCAGATATAAACCCAGTCAGATTATAAAACCAGTCAGATATAAACCAGTCAGATATAAACCAGTCAGATATAAACCAGTCAGATATAACCAGTCAATAAAAAGCCAGTCAGATATAAACCAGTCAGATATAAACCAGTCAATATAAGCCAGTCAGATATAAAAAACCATCAGATAAAACGAGATATAAACCAGTCAGATATAAACCCAGTCAGATATAAACCGTCAGATATAACCAGTCAGATATAAACCAGTCAGTATAAACCAGTCAGATATAAACCAGTAAGATATAAACCAGTCAGATATAAACCAGTCAGATATAAACCAGTCAGATATAAACCAGTCAGATATAAACCAGTCAGATATAAACCAGTCAGATATAACCAGTCATATAACCAGTCAGATATAAACCAGTCAGATATAAACCAGTCAGATATAAACCAGTCAGATATAAACCAGTCAGAATCCATCAAATAAACCAGTCAGATATAAACCAGTCAGTATGGCACCGGGTCCAGATATAAACCATCAGATATAAACCAGTCGATATAAACCAGTCAGATATAAACCGTCAGATATAAACCAGTCAGATATAAACCAGTCAGATATAAACCAGTCAGATATAAACATCAGATATAACCATAGTATAACCAGTCAGATAAAACCAGTCAGATATAAACCAGTCAGATATAAACCGTCAATAAACGTCATGGACCAGTCAGATAAACAGATTATAAACCATCAATCAGATATAAACCAGTCAGATATAAACCATCAGATATAACCTCAGATAAACCATCAGTATGGCACCAGTCAGATATAAACCAGTCAGATATAAACCAGTCAGATATAAACCAGTCAGATATAAACCAGTCAGATATAAACCAGTCAGATATAAGCCAGTCAGTATGGCACCAGTCAAAATATAAACCAGTCAGATATAAACCAGTCAGATATAAACCAGTCAGTATGGCACCAGTCAGATATAAACCAGTCAGATATAACCAGTCAGATATAAACCATTCAGATATAAACCAGTCAGATATAAACAGTCAGAATATAAACCAGTCAGATATAAACCAGTCAGATATAAACCAGTCAGATATAAACCATCAGATATAAACCAGTCAGATATAAACCAGTCAGATATAAACCAGTCAGATATAAACCAGTCAGATATAAAAAAAAAACCAGTCAGATATAAACCAGTCAGATATAAACCAGTCAGATATAAACCAGTCAGATATAAACCAGTCAGTATGGCACCAGTCAGATATAAACCCAGTCAGATATAAACCAGTCAGATATAAACCAGTCAGATTTAAACCAGTCAGATATAAACCAGTAAGATATAAACCAGTCAGATATAAACCAGTCAGATATAAACCAGTCAGATATAAACCAGTTCAGATATAAACCAGTCAGATATAAACCAGTCAGATATAAACCAGTCCAGATATAAACCAGTCAGATATAAACCAGTCAGATATAAACCGTCAGTATGGCACCAGTCAGATATAAACCAGTCAGATATAAACCAGTCAGATATAAACCAGTCAGACATAAACCAGTCAGTATGGCACCAGTCAGATATAAACCAGTAAGATATAAACCAGTCAGATATAAACCAGTCAGATATAAACCAGTCAATATCAACCAGTCAGATATAAGCCAGCAGTATAAACAGTCAGACATAAACCAGTCAGTATGGCACCAGTCAGATATAAACCAGTAAGATATAACACAGTCAGATTATAAACCAGTCAGATATAAACCAGTCAGATATAAACCAGTCAGATATAAACCAGTCAGAATAAATCAGTCTGCATATAAACCAGTCAGTATGGCACCAGTCAGATATAACCAGTCAGAGATTAAAACCAGTCAGATATAAACCAGTCAGATATAAACCAGTCAGATTTAAACCAGTCAGTATGGGACCAGTCAGATATAAACCAGTCAGATATAAACCAGTCAGATATAAACCAGTCAGATATAAACCAGTCAGATATAAACCAGTCAGATATAAACCAGTCAGATTTAAACCAGTCAGATATAAACCAGTCAGTATGGGACCAGTCGATATAAACCAGTTCAGATATTAAACCAGGTCAGATAAAACCAGTCAGATATAAACCAGTCAGATATAAACCAGTCAGATATAAACCAGTCAGATATAAACCAGTCAGATATAAACCAGTCAGATATAAACCAGTCAGATATAAACCAGTCAGATATAAACCAGTCAGATATAAACCAGTCAGACATAAACCAGTCAGATATAAACCAGTCAGATAAAACCAGTCAGATATAAACCAGTAGATATAAACCAGTCAGCATAAACCAGTCAGATATAAACCAGTCAGATATAAACCAGTCAGATATAAACCAGTCAGATATAAACCAGTCAGTATGGGACCCAGTCAGATATAAACCAGTCAGATATAAACCATCAGATATAAACCAGTCAGATATAAAAACCAGCCCAGATATCAAACCAGTCAGATATAACCCAGTCAGATATAAACCAGTCAGATATAACCAGTCAGATATAAACCATTTCTGATATAAACCAGTCAGTATAAACCAGTCAGATATAAACCAGCAGATATAAACCAGTTCCAGTATGGCACCAGTCAGATATAAACCCAGTCAGATATAAACCATCAGATATAAACCAGTCAGATATAAACCAGTCAGATATAAACCAGTCAGTATGGCACCAGTCAGATATAAACCAGTCAGATATAAACCAGTCAGTATGGCACCAGTCAGATATAAACCAGTCAGATATAAACCAGTCAGATATAAACCAGTCAGATATAAACCAGTCAGATATAAACCAGTCAGATATAAACCAGTCAGATATAAGCCAGTCAGATATAAACCAGTCAGATATAAACCAAACTAAATAAAAATAAATAATAATTAAAAATAAATAAAATAAACTAGTGTAGTATACTGGCCAATGATTATATTGGTGATTCTGATCCAACCATAAATTAATACATTGTGCCCCTGGCCTGAGAGGATGGAAGTTCAACATGTAGCTAGATGTAGTATGCTAATGTTAACCAGCTGGCCTAGTGTATCATTGCCCATGAAAGGAAGTTAGGCTAGCGAGCAAGTATTTTAGCCAGGTAGCCGAGGACAACAAAAACTACAAGTACCTGTATGTACTGTATGACAGAGTGATAGACCTTTAGGCACCATGAAAGAGGAGGATGGCATTGGCGTTTCTCTACAAGTAGGGTGAGTCAACATGATTTTTATACTTGCACGCACACGCACGCACACACACACACACACACACACACACACACACACACACACACACACACACACACACACACACACACACACACACACACACACACACACACACACACAGAGAAATCAGTACCATGAACAGTCACATTTAGCTTACGTTGATTTAATACTTTTTGGTATCTTTTAGTTGTCACTGTACTAGACTAAGCAGAGGTGATTTGATGATGTTGAAATGTTGAAGTTGAAATGGTGCTGGAATAGTGGAGGCAGCTCCTGTTTTCTTTGCGACTTGCGGTAACTCTCCATGGTTGTAAATCAATAGTTGTTTAGTAGTCTGAAAATGTGGGAAACATCAACTTGATTGACCATGCTGTAGGTCACGTAACTGTTTGTTACATGCAATATGCTTTGTGGACTTCACCAGACAGATGATGCTCTCCAGTGTTGAAAGTGTGGTTGAATTGATTCTGCCGCCGTCTTCTTATTGTCTCTGCCTTTAGGCCTATTTATCACGGTGTCAAGGCATATGAACTAACAGGTTATAGAGCAAACAACACAATTATCACAACAGATGTAATATGGCTTTGTTTCTGGATTGGCTTCCCTGGAGATTTTACCCACGCACCGCTACTGGGGAGAGACGGAGAGATGGGTTTTAGCTGCCAGCCATCAGGTAGCCAGCAGGAAATGGTAGGTACCACAGGATGGGGTGGGGCTTTCAACAGGAAGGGGTGGGGCCCTGATGGGTCAGGAGTGCTGAATGAGAGACGATGACATCTTTCAGGAATTGATTCTTTACCAACCTACTATACTGTATACCCCAGCCCCCTACACTCCCAAAGCCCCCTGCCCCCAGCCCCCAGCCCCCTGCACTCCCAAAGCCCCCTGCCCCCCCAGCCCCCTGCCCCCAGCCCCCCCACAGAAACATGGCTCTCTGGGGATATTCTGTCGAAATCGGTCCAGCCAGATGGGTTCTCAGTTCATCGCACAGACAGGAATAAATATCTCTCCAGGAAGCAGAAGGGCAGAGGTGTGTGTTTCATGATTAATGACTCATGGTGTAATTGTAGTAACATACAGGAACTCAAGTCCTTCTGTTCACCCGACCTAGAATACCTCACAATCAAATGCCGACCTGTATTATCTCCCAAGAGAATTTTCTTCGGTTATAGTCACGGCCGTGTATATCCCCCCTCAAGCCGATACCACGACGGCCCTCAAAGAACTTAACTGGAGTTTATGCAAACTGGAAACCACATATCCTGAGGCTGCATTTATTGTAGCCGGGGATTTTAACAAAGCAAATTGGGAGACTAGGCTGCCGAAGTTCTATCAACATATCGACTGTTGTATCCTCGACCATTGCTATTCAAACTTCCGGGGTGGTTATAAGGCCCTCCCACACCCTTCTTTCGGAAAATCTGACCACGACTCCATTTTGCTCCTCCCTTCCTATAGGCAGAAACTCAAACAGGAAGTACCCGTGCTAAGGACTATTCAACGCTGGTCTGACCAATCGGAATTCACACTTCAAGATTGTTTTGATCATGCGGACTGGGATATGTTCCGGGTAGCTTGCAAAAATAATTTAGACGAATACTCTGAAACGGTGACTGAGTTTATCAGGAACTGTATAGTTGATGTTGTGCCCACTGTGACTATTAAAACCTACCCTAACCAGAAACCGTGGATAGATGGCAGCATTCGCACAAAACTGAAAGTGCGAACCACCGCATTTAACCATGGCAAGGTGACTGGGAATACGGCAGAATACAAACAGTGTAGCTACTCACTCCGCAAGGCAATTAAACTGGCAAAACATCAGTATAGAGACAAAGTGGAGTCACAATTCAACGGCTCAGACACGAGACGTATGTGGCAGGGTCTACAGACAATCACGGACTACAAAAAGAAAACCAGCCACGGTGCTTCCAGACAAACTAAACACCTTCTTAGCCCGCTTTGAGGATAACACAGTGCCAATGACGCGGCCCACTACCAAGGACTATGGGCTCTCCTTCTTCATGGCCGACGTGATTAAGACATTTAAGCATGTTAACCCCCGCAAGGCTGTGGTCCTCTGTAGCTCAATTGGTAGAGCATGGCGCTTTTAACGCCAGGGTAGTGGGTTTGATCCCCGGGACCACCCATACGTAAAAATATATGCACACATGACTGTAAGTCGCTTTGGATAAAAGCGTCTGCTAAATGGCATATTATTATTATTATATTATAAGGCTGCCGGCCCAGACGGCATCCCTAGCCGCGTCCTCAGAGCATGCGCAGACCAGCTGGCTGGTGTGTTTACGGACATATTCAATCTCTCCCTATCCCAGTCTGCTGTCCCCACATGCTTCAAGATGGCCACCATTGTTCCTGTACCCAAGAAAGCAAAGGTAACTAAACTAAATGACTATCGCCTGTAGCACTCACTTCTGTGCTTTGAGAGGCTAGTCAAGGATCATATCACCTCTACCTTACCTGTCACCCTAGACCCACTTCAATTTGCTTACCGCCCCAATAGATCCACAGACGATGCAATCGCCATCACACTGCACACTGCCCTATCCCATCTGGATAAGAGGAATACCTATGTAAGAATGCTGTTCATTGACTATAGCTCAGCATTCAACACCATAGTACCCTCCAAGCTCATCATTAAGCTTGAGGCTCTGGGTCTGAACCCCGCCCTGTGCAACTGGGTCCTGGACTTCCTGACGGGCCGCCCCCAGGTGGTGAAGGTAGGAAACAACATCTCCACTTCGCTGATCCTCAACGCTGGAGCCCCACAAGGGTGCATGCTCAGCCCACTACAGGTTTGCAGATGACACAACAGTACTAGGCTTGATTACCAACAATGACGAGACCACCTACAGGGAGGAGGTGAGGGCTTTGGGAGTGTGGTGCCAGGAAAATAACCTCTCACTCAACGTCAACAAAACAAAGGAGATGATCGTGGACTTCAGGAAACAGCAGAGGGTGCACCCCCCTATCCACATCGACGAGACCGCAGTGGAGAAGATGGAAAAGCTGACAAACTGAAATGGTCCACCCACACAGACACTGTGGTGAAGAAGGCACAACAGAGCCTCTTCAACCTCAGGAGGCTGAAGAAATTTGGCTTGGCACCTAAGACACTCAGAACCTTTTACAGATGAACAATTGAGAGCATCCTGTCAGGCTGTATCACCGCCTGGTACGGCAACTGCACCGCCCACAACCGCAGCGCTCTCCAGTGGGTGGTGCGGTCTGCCTAATGCATTACCGGGGGCAAACTACCCGCCCTCCAAGACACCTGAATCACCCGATGTCACAGGAAGGCCAACAAGATAATCAAGGACATCAACCACCCGAGCCACTGCCTGTTGACCCCGCTATCATCCAGAAGGTGAGGTCAGGACAGGTGCATCAAAGCTGGGACAGAGAGAATTAAAAACAGCTTCTATCTCAAGGCCATCAGACTGTGAAATAGCCATCACTAGCACATTAGAGGCTGCTGCTGCCTATTGAAATCACTGGCTACTTTAAGAAATGGAACACAATTCACTTTAATAATGTTTCCATATCTTGCACTACTCATCTCATATGTATATACTGCATTCTATTATATAATATTCTACTGTATCTTAGTCCTAGCCGCTCTGTCATTGCTTGTCCATATATGTATATATTCTTAAATCCCATTCCTTACTAGATTTGTGTGTATTGGGTATATGTTTTGAAATTGTTAGATATTACTGCACTGTCGGAGCTAGAAGCACAAGCATTTCACTACACCCGCTATAACATCTGCTAAACACGTGTATGTGACAAAGACATTTGGATTTGAGTTGTTACAATCCTCGTAATGAATGTGTTAATATAACTAATGTAAAGCTGTAGGTTGAGTCATGCTGTTCTCTGTTGTTCTGAACTCAAACTCTTATGAATAATGATTGCATCTCAAATGGCATCCTATTCCCCACACAGTGCACTACATAGTGCCCTCGTCAACAGTAGAGATTCTATAGCGGACCAGAGTCATGGGCAGGGTAACCTGGCCGGGGGGGGTGAGACCAACCTGCCTGGGATAGTATAGAAGTAATCCTTCTACCCCCCCAAACCCCACCCCCACAAAAAAAATATATATATATATATATATATATATATATATATATATATATATAAATATATATATATAAATATATATAAAACAAATGAAAATTAAAAATATACTAGAAAATGTGAAAAATGTGAAAAATATATATTTTAAAAAAAAAATTGTAAAGTGGTTGTCCCACTGGCTATCATAAGGTGAATGCACCAATTTGTAAGTGGCTCTGGATAAGAGCGTCTGCTAAAATGACGTAAATGTGAATGTAATGTAACCTACCAGGTAGGGTAATGACTGTGGTCAGCAGAGCCTGAAACGAGAAGGAATGGATTGAGAAGAGAGGAAAACCAGCTGAAATAGATGTGGCCCGCTTGTTGTGATAGAAGCTCTGAGAAACAGTGTTACAGTCACCACAGCTTCTCTCTGAGGCATCCCTATGATGTTCAGAGAGAGAGAAAATCAACCTCCCAGCACAGAGCCCTACTCCCTCATTGAAATGAAGGATACATTCACCCAGCTGGAGGT